TAGAAACTGAGTGTTTCTCATAAAGTGAGAACGGAGACAGCTGTTAGAGCTCCCTCGTCATTTTTGGAAGCTCCTAATAGCACTTGTATACAGAAAAAAAACATGCAGGAGCAATCAATACTGCTGTCTGCCTGCCTTTTTTACCCAAGCTATATCTCAGGATCTCTGTCCACAAGAAGCGGAGACTGCCAAGTCCCTTGCAGGAGAGGAGGTCATCTTTCCAAAGACAAATGGATGGGCAAGTATATTGCAATGGTTGGTGAAAAATGTAGAAACTCAGGAAGAAAACACACAAGCACAGTGAGAAAAAGTATCAGAAATTAAAAAGACACTCTGGACTGATTAGAAGTAAATGGAAAAAAATTCTCTAAATCAGAAGGAAGAATTAACAGAAATCCAAATAACTGCACATTGTCATCCTTAAAATTGTGGATGAACCTAGCCAGTTTGAATAGAAATAAAGGGATTACTAAAAGAGAGCTGAGTGTATGATGTCAAATACAAAAACGAAATACAAATTCTGCTCTTTGTTCAATGACTTAATTTCACAATGACTTTTCCACTAAAGTTAGTTGTAGTGCACCACTGTAAGCAAGTATAGATCTGGGACCATTACTGTTCCTGCAATCTTCAGGCAAACCTACTTATTTTGTTAGTATCTTCCCCTTCGGAAATTTCCCTAGCTGTGCAAACTAATTTAACAGCTAAATTCCACTCACTGAATGAGGAACATCATCAGAGTTGCATTGTACATATCTGTGTACCAGAAAAATGGAACTGACGTTGCCGCATGTTAATCTTAGTCTGAAAATAGAAAGTATAATAATACCATTGTAGGATACCCTTTAAAGTGCATATCCATGTGAAGTAGCTCTGACAGTAATACAGGGGAATGATTAAGACTGTTGAGACCGACCTGGTAGTTGAAACTGGATGTGATGAGTAACAATAAGGTTGTCTAATGATTTACCATTCTGCGACCCTGTTTTCAGTCACTACTAAGATTTTCCCTAACTAAGCATTTAAACTGAAATTTCCAAGCTGAGTAGCTCCAGTCCTCCTTCAAAATCAGATTTGGCAAATTTTCCAATTATCTGTGTCCTTTTTTCCCCCATCATTTTCTTAACAACCTCCAGGAGTTCTTATAGCTCCCTAATTCAGATTGTTCACAGCACTTTGATTTGGTCCTCTCATATAGAGTCATAGAATCATAGAATGGTTTGGGTTAGAAGGGACCTTCAAAGATCATCTAGTCCCCCCACCCCGCCATGGGTAGGGACATCTTTCACTAGATAAGGTTGCTCAAAGCCCTGTCCAACCTGACCTTGAACACTTCCAATGATGGGGCATCCACAACTTCTCTGGACAACCTGTTCCAGCGTCTCACCACCCTCACAGTAACAAAAAATTTTCCTCATCAGCCCTGAAGAGAAGGACCTGGGTGTGCTGATTGACAAGAAGCTCAACATGAGCCAGCAATGTGCAATCGCAGCCCAGAAGGCCAACCGTATCCTGGGTTGCATCAAAAGAAGTGTGGCCAGCAGGTCAAGGGAGGTGATTCTGCCCCACTACTCCACTCTGGTGAGACCCCACCTGGAGTACTGCATCCAGCTCTGGAGTCCCCAGCATAAGAAGGACATGGACCTGCTGGAGAGTGTCCAGAGGAGGGCCACGAGGATGATCCAAGGGCTGGAGCACCTCTCCTATGAGGAGAGGCTGAAAGAGTTGAGGATGTTCAGCCTGGAGAAGAGAAGGCCCCAGGGAGATTTTATTGCGGCCTTCCAGTACCTAAAGGGGGCGTACAGGAGAGCTGGGGAAGGACTTTTTACTAAAGCATGTAGCGATAGGGCGAGGGGAAATGGCTTTAAACTGGAAGAGGGCAGGTTTAGATTAAACATTAGGAAGAAGTTTTTCACTTTGTGGGTTGTAAGGCACCGGAACAGGTTGCCCAGAGAGGCTCTTGAGGTCCCATCCCTGGAGGTGTTCAAGGCCAGGCTGGACGTGGCCTTGGGCAACCTGGTCTAGTGGGAGGTGTCCCTACCCAAGGCAGGGGGGTTGGAACTCGATGATCTTCAAGGTACTTTCCAACCTAAACCATTCTATGATTCTATGATTATATCCAGTCTAAATCTACCCTCTTTCAGTTTAAAACTGTTGCTCCTTTTTCTGTCACTATAGACTTCAGTAAAATGTCTCTTTCCCATCTTTCTTATAAGTCCCCTTTATTAAAAGGCCACAAGTTCTCCCTGGAGCCTTCCTTTGCCAGGCTGAACAATCTCATCTCTCTCAGTATTTCTCCACAGGAGACTTCTGTCATTTTTATGGTCCTCCTCTAACCTGCTCTAACACGTCCATGTCTTTCTTGTACTGGGGACCCCAGAACTGGATGCAGTACAGTCTGGATGCACGTCGGATCTCACAAGAGCAGAGAGTAGAAGGGGAGAACTACGTCCCTTGACCAGCTGGCCACGCTTCTTTTTATTCAGCACAGGATACGGTTGGCTTTCTGGCTGTAAACATGCATTGCCAGCTCATGTCCAATTTTTCAATCACCAGCATCCCCAAGTCCTTCTCTGCAGGGCAGCTATCAATCAATTCATCCCCCAGTTTCTATTGATATTGGGGATTGTCCTGACCCAAGTGCAAGACCTTGCACTTGTCCTTGTTTAACTTCATGAGGCTATATGAGGACATTAAAGTAGAAACTGCAATGACAGTGACACATCGCACTTCAGAATTTCAGGGTGTCAGTGAGTCAGACGCTCATGGAGAAGAAGGGGATTTCTCTTATCTCAGCTGAGGAGCAATAATGGGACCAGAAAAACAAAAAGCACTACTCATAGCTCACTCCAACTATCTGCTGGGTAGATCCTGAAATCACTGTACACACCAGAGAGCAATTTACTCCATAAATATTCAAGAAAATGTCAATAGGATTAAGAGAAAAAGAAGATACTACTCAAGGTGGCTAAAAATAGCAGCATTCAGTTTGATGCTATGCAAGATGATGATACACAGTAATGAAACTTCACAGGCAATCTCTACCTTGTGACAAAATAAGCTCTGATTTTTTTTTACTTTGTAATGTGACTATTACAGTACATTACTAGGAGTATATTTGATTTTTATATCCTTCGTAGATACATATGCAGGAAAAGGTATTTTGCTATCTGTAAAAAAAAAATTTTGCCACTGTAAAACTGGAATACACTATCCTGCTTCTTTTAAAAAACAAAATATATTCTGTTTTGAAAATTTCAGCCATATTTGCATATGATTGACAGTTTCACCTTTATTAAGATTAAGTACTTTTTTGTTCTATTTAAACACTTGTTTCTTACTGCTCTTAATATTTCTAGCCATTCACTAACAGCCCGACCTACTCTTATTTAGTTTTCATCCATTTTGCTGATTTACACTGTGGTCAGCTTCACTGGAGCTTTCTTTAATTTGGAATTAAGATATAGTACCATAGAACAGAAGCAAGGTTGAACTTAGATTTCAAAATTAGACCAATCTATAAAAAATTAGGACATAATTTTTAGTCTTAATTAGCAAATGAAGAAGCCAGGAATCGTTGCAGCTGCTCACACTGCTATACAAAAGCCTCTCTAAAGCCTTCTATAACTCTACATCAAGTCATTGGAAATGTCCAGAAGATTTTCAGTCAGGCCCTCAAAAAATCAAAGGTTAAG